TAGCAAAGCCTCTGACAAAGAAGCTCCCTTTTTATAACATCTTTTTATGCCCCAACTCTCTTTTTTCTTCCTTGTTCTCTGTCTAGCTGGAGGGTGTTTTTTTTAGCACCCTAGAATTGTCACTTGGACTCGAGCAGTTTTAAAATACCCTGGCGCATTAACGATGGAGCCGTCTGTTACGGGTCATGCCGCTGGTGAACTGGTCAGACCAGAATTGTGGGCAATTTATCTCTCTGCTCAGCCAGGGTACAAGAAATGTGAAAGCCATTCCTTCTCTAGGGAAAGCCTTGAATGCGCATTGCCCTGCTGTATTCACAGATGTAATGCTTTTGCAGTTGAAAGCAAGTAAACAACACCAGTGACATTCCTCCTGCCACACTGTATTTATTTATTACACTTTTAAGCTGCCAAGGAACCAAAGTTCTCTGGGCTGTAATTATTGTGATTAATCATGCTGGTTATGAAGTAAATGAAGGATGGCAGAGTTGCCGGGCAGGCACAGGTATTGCCCATGGCCACCGGTCTCCCCCCAACACAAAGACCCAGCCTTTTATGTTGGTGGTTCTTACAATCCCATGTTGCAGAAAGAGGGCAGGATAGGGTAACATGTGAGGCCTCTTTGTACTATGCCCAGCACAAAAACAAAGCAAAAATCCACACTCCAGTACAATGGTTTCTCTTTCTGTGAGCCGAAAGCTGAAGTTTACCCTTGTTCATTTTTCATGGTTGGTCCAACACACTTTGATTCCTGAGAATTCTCTAGGGGATACTGGGAGTTGTGGTTCAAAAATGAAATTTTCCAAGCTTTGTTCACTCCACTGAGGCAGGTGACAGTTTACAACAGGGGTCAGAAATGTATGGTCCACCAGAACTCTATACCTTCCAACTGTCCCAGTTTGGCAGGGACAGCCCCAGTTAATCCTCTGTCATCCCACTTTTTCAGTAGCTTTTAAAATGTCCCAGTTTCCCTCTTTTCTTCATCTTTTCCCCTTTGTCCTTAGCTTACTGCAATTGCTGCAAGCTGTGTTCAAAATGTAAAAGTAGTTTGTACTCCACTAACTCAGAAGGGGAGAAAAGAGAGGAAGGGGCAGAGTTTTTCAATTCCCTTAAGGTCCAACAAAAGCAAATAGCTGCAGCATTTCCTAGTTCGTGTCTCTTTCCTCATTCATAACTTTTGCTGTCTTGATCAAACTCTGATGTTGCTTGGCCATACATGTCCGCATTTTCATCTGTGAAATGTTGGAGGGTATGGAACATTTGGGAACTAGGAAAACTCTTAGTACAAATCTACCCACCCAAAAAAATGGCAACAGGGATCAGGAAATTAGCCAGCCTAATCAAAGCTGAGGAAGGTTGGGAACTGTAGTTCAGCAATGTCTGGAGTTATTCCTACTCCTACCTTAAGACCAAAAACACACACACAAAATGAACAGGGAGAAAAGAAAGGAAGCAAATCAAGGTCATCCATACTCTTAAAACCAAACTACCTGATTATCAAAGCTTATTTCAGGCAGTGCTTTCAATGTGCAATTGCTTTTTCTGGAATTTCTGGAATGGTAAGGCTTGCCACAAAAGCTATTGTCGTATACAGGGACTGGCAACCTACAGCCCGGGGGCCGGTTAAGGCCCCGGTCCCTGGACTTACTGTCCCAGGCCAAAGGTTGCCGCCGCTGCCGCCGCTGCACGTTTTTGCCGCTCTGTGGCCGCGCTCGCTGCAACCGCCACTCTTGCGCATGCGCAAACGTGTCACGGCCACCATTTTGATTTCCAAAATGGTGGCCGCGACATGTGCCATGGCAGCGGCGGCCGCGCGCCGCCATTCCCCCCCCCTCGGCCCAGCCAAGACCTGGGCTACGGGAGACCGGCCCAGGTCTTAAAAAGGTTGCCTTCCCCTGTTCTTATATTTGGGTTTGCCCACTATCTTCATTTTTCTTATCAGAGAAGATCTGTTAAGAAGACAGAATAGCTGTAAAATATGTTTTTTTTTTGGTCATTTCAATATTTATTAAAAAAACATATATAAACATATATAACATAAACATTAAATATACAAACAACTTAAAATAATATGA